AAAGTATAGACAGATACAGATGTGATGAAAAACTTTCCCTCTATATTTATTGATCCATTTAGTGGTATAAAAAAATAAAAAATATACAATAAACACGATAGCATTACTCAAATGAAAAAAAATACATTTTATTCACTCATATATTTAGTCAAAATAACTTGTAAAAGTATTCCGATGTATTTTTTTCTGTTCAACATACAAATAACTGATTTGTTCACTTGTTGTTAATTTAAACGTATGTTTTACAGACAATGATTTGTATTTTTGTTAATATTCCAATTATTGTGATTATCATGTAACTGTGCCTAGATTGCTCATTATTCTATTTTGTAGAATTTCATAAATAAGAAAGTTAGCCGTTTTTTTCCACCTTTGCCATATAAACTTTGGCTGAAGTTCCTGTATTTCCTTGCGGTCCTAGATGACCTCTAGCATGCACACCCAGATAATTTTAAGATAATTGAGTTATCGCTCATATATCTACTTGTACCATATAGCTAATAATAAATCTAAATGCAAATAAAACAAATAGTTAAATATATAGTAGCTAGTACACCATATAAATAATTTCAATTGGGCTTACGTATTTTTGTAAAGTGGGTTTTATAAGAGTATATTAGTGTTACAGCTCGACAAAGTGCAAAAAAGAAAGGCAGAAGACAAGCTTAAACAATAAAACCTATGATAATGTTCACAGCGTAGATTTTTTTCATGGCTTATTCGTAAATGTAAAAAAAACTTAGGTAAAACAGAAGCACTTATGATCAGTGAAGTCATGAAGTAAACTTCTGCTCTTCTACAATTGATATTAAAGTCATCATGGGCCTATTATATGAGCTATTGTTGTATGCATAGCATGATGATGCTGTAGATGAGAGATCAATTTTTCAGTATACAGTGCAAACAAAGATTTTATCTAGATCGTTTATTAGTATCGCAAGCGAAATTATGGGGATCTTAATTGTTGGAGAAGGAATGGTCAATAAATTTACAGTAAAAGAGTGACCCTTTTGACAAAAGAAGTTTTTCATTTGGCTAATATGATTGGAAAATAGAGCCCGAAAGGGGCTAAGCGATGTGCGCCAGTATCCTAAAATATATGCAGACATGAACATACAAGTACATTACGACCTCTTAGATATATCGTATTTTTATTTTTAAATCATAGGTAGATTATTTGTTATTTGCTGCTACGTTAAATGCTCAGAAAATGGATTTCATTCTACGTTAATCAATCGTTCATTATACTCACAAACAGGTTACAAAGGACCTTAGTTGCGTAACAAGGTCTTCGCCATGAGATCCAAAACAAGCTCATGCCAAGAGCTCCTGCGAAAGCTGTGATTAATGTAATATGGTAAACACCGACAGGATACGCAAGCAGCCCCAAGAGGCCAGACATCCTGTAAGTATTATGGCGCCTAGGCGCATGACTTACAGCGGTTTCAAGTCGAAGTAAATCCTTATAGCGCATCCTTGGATAACACAGACAATACCGCGAAAAACGTCAAATGAATCAAATGGGCGGGTTCCAAAAAAAAGTTCTGTGGACCAGTTCCACTATTGGAAATATGAGAACCAGGGTGGTTGTGAAAAACCAAATAATCATAGCGCCGAACTGGGTTAACCTCGAGTTTTCTGAGTTCACGCATAATTCTCTGTCGCCCACGATCGGCCAATATTCCCCTACGATCTCGGTCGCGTTCTGTGATATCTTTGAGACACTGGCAGTCTTCTTCAACCCAGATTCGAGCTGAGGACCTGATAGGGCGCTTTTTGACAACCAGTCTTCCGAACAGTCTGTAGCTTGCTTTTGGCTGAATCATCGCGATGCGTTCCACAATAACATAATTATATTCTATTGTCATAGGTACCAGCGACAATCGAACAAGTATGCTCCAAGTTAATATCGCAAGATTGGTGGCACTTGTTGCTGAAAACTATAAGTTACCTAAACGTTCAAGAAAATAGTAAAAGAAGAGCAGAGAACACCTCATCACAACTGTTTCAGGAGTTTTTCCATTTTCATCATTTTTGAAGAACTCGGCTACATATTGGTGAGCTAATTGGCACTTAACCATGCCACTCAGCATTAAACAACACATGCATGTACATTCAGCGCCTGTTAAATCTAATAATGTGCTCAGCCAGACTAAAACGCGCAGGTGAGCTTGAGATTTTCATCAGATAAGGTCTTTCACTGTACATTGACTCATTTCCACAACTTAACCGGATGAACAATACCGAAATAAAACAAGAAACGCTGATCTTTTTGAAGCTGAGTAAGCAATGCTGCGTAGAATAAGACAAGAACGAAGGCAGGACACAGGCTGTGAAGCACCCGCATCATCTGGGGAACCAGCCGTCCACACAGACGCACACACGTGGCGAAAAGAAACACTAAGTTATTTTAGGCCCAAGACTGGAGATAAAACTTGATTGGCAGTTAAGCACTCAGCAAGAGTTGTCAAGCCGCACGAAAAATGGCAGGCGAAACGTGACCGGCAGAGACAACTGACAAGTCCGCATGCCAGTTTTCTAGGAGCATTGCATGCGTCAGCGTTAATGAAGTGTTGTTCAAGTTCATATACGAAATATTATCAGAAAAAATTGAAATAAATATAACCTTGGAAGCGCATTAAATCATCATCTGTGTAAAAGCGGTTGGTCAACATGCGTTAACCGTAATCCCCAACAGTTACAAATATATATACCTAATCTTGTAGCAAATTACATAATTATAGGTCTGGGCGAAATACATTTAAATAACTAGTACTTGCTCACGCTGATGAAATAAAAAATGGAAATTTAATTTTTAGTGAAATTCTTCATCCGTACGAGTTTTTACACTACTTTTGAAACTAAAGCTATATATTATAATTTACACATGATCAAGTGTTAGAATCATGTAAATAGGTCACTTTTGACGGCTTTTATCGCAACCAATATGCAAATGATGTGAAGCCAATTATCAAACATTCTATCTCAAGAGGTGATTTTGACAGATAAATGACATGTATATGTGTATGCCCATGAAAACTTGCTTCCGTCAGAAGGATGATCCCCGTTAAACAACTCACATTAAAATCAAATGTATA